TTTACCGAGACTCGAACTCGGATCTCTCGAATGGCACGCCTGTGCTTTGTTCACTCGGCCATTGTGATTATCAGAGCGACGAGAGCTAAATTATATACAAGTGCTTTCATCCAAAATAGATTTTCACCACGAATTGTAAATGAGAAAGTTTTTTTCGAACTATTTTGCAAATGGTCTTTCAATTGCATTACGGAAGACTTTTTACTATCTTAGCCAAATTTCTCTGTTAATATTTTTGGGGAATAATTTGGTGAAAGTCTTAAAATAAAATAAAACTTAAAATTCCGTTGGAAAACGCACAAAATTCTTTTTTGGTGAAGCCTCTAATGTACATCTATACTGTTCTATAAAATTGATTTTATGGAAAATGTTTGTCCCGCTTTGTTTCTCAAAGTGTTTGGCCGAGCTTCTGCTCCAATTTGTGGCGTGCGCCACACAAAGGGGAGGGACCCACAGTTTTTCGCCGTCTTCGAACGGCGATTGTATTTTTATGAGAAGCCGTTTTTTATGGCAGAAACGCACTCGGAGGTTTGCCATTGTCTACCGAGAGGCGACCGTTATTAGAAAAAACTTGTCTTTTTTTTTGATGTTGGTCGGAAACTGGGCTTGAGCCCAGGCCCTGCGAAATAGTAGCGCGCAATGCTAATCATTACATACAAAAGCCTATAAAATTAGTTCGCTTTTAGAATATGAGTAATGATTCGACATTTTAAAATTTATGTTAGTCACACATAAAAATACACTAGATGTTGTTAAATACATCTATTTTACATTTTGTATTAATGAAAGCATTATTAAATTTTTGTGATTTAAAAAAATGAATGAAGCAGGAACACATCGAGCCATTAGCGCCTAAAGGACGGAGCGAAATTTTTTTCAAAATTTTCTCTTGATGCAGAGAAATTTTGTAAAAAAATGCTGTAAATAAATGTCCGTTTGGCGGTTAGGGCTCAATATGTATGTACATATTTATGTATGTACTCCGAGTAAAAATTTCACTCCTTTATAACAAATTCTGAATGTCCAATTGGAAGCATCTTTCTTCGACAATTTCTCTACCAACACCATGCCATGAAGCCTTGCGGACATATGCACATACACGTACACGGAAAAAAAGTTCGGATACACACGTACGCATTTATTCACCTGATTGACTTCACCATAATCGTAATCGTCATGTCGTATCCCATAGATGCATTGAATGTAATTCCAAATGGCTCGTCGGAACTTCGACGTATCCACATTGCGGTAACCGCCCATGGTGAAGTACGTCAGATTGTATGCAGCACGAAATTTTTGGTCCAACAGTGTGCCCACATCGCTGTACAGACTGGAGTAAAAAAGAACAAAAAAAAAATTTAGTTTAAATGTTTCCGCACGCCAAACGCCTTGAAAGTCAACCATTTACCCATTAACCAGCGAGTAGCCATGATCGTCCCACGAGTAGTCCTGCACGCGGAAGGTGGAGGGTATATTTTCGGCACCTCGACGTGCGAAGTCTTGATAAGTGAAAGTGGGATCCTCGATGTAGTGCGAGATGATCGGTGGTACTTCGACGGTGGCTTCGGTAGCAGCGGCGGGCAGTTCGGCGGTTTGCATTTCGACACTCTTGAAGCGATTACTCAGCTCTGCTTCGCTGCATTCATCCTGCTTCTGTGAGAGTACTTTCATGCGCTCGACCAGCGCTTCCACCGGCACATTGGGTTGCGGGGAGCCAGAAGTGGCTGCAAATACAAAGAATTTTTTATTTAATCTCCCCAACACCCTACAAATTTCCTCTCATATGCTTACGAGTATGTCTCGTGACGCCATTGTTGGCGCCACCGCCGTTCATGGTGATATCGGTGGGCGTGGACGCATTGCCGCTAACATTTTGCAAATTATTATTGTATTGCTGGTGGTTGGTATGATCAAGCACGTTATTGTTGTTATTGATCGTTATCTCACTCAGGACAGTCTTTTGTTGTTGGTGGTGGTGCTGCTGCTGCTGCACCAAAACGTTTGGACCGGACGGCAACGACGTCGGCAGCGGCATCTGCTGTGCTGTCGTTAACGGCTGTGCGGTAGCTGGTAACGTTGCCGGCGCATTCTTCAACCTTGGACTAGACAAGCCGTCTAGTTTTTGTGTCAGGCCGCAGGAGAATACAAATGAGGAGAGCGAATGGAAATGTGAGAGCAGAACCATTGCGTGCACCACCTCGGACAGAGACCAGCTATTCTTGCCTTTTGTGAGACCCTGCCAACGAGTGGAGGTTAGATTACAAGTATGTACACACATAGAAATTGTGTTATGGTGTGTTAAAGATATTGAAGCAAAAAAGTAAGCCACGTTTCTTAATGATACCTACCTCGATGTGCTCCGTGCGCAGCAGCCACGGCCGATGCGCCAGTATTTTGTTGATATCATATATGGCACGTAATTTAGATGGGATATAATCCAAGCCATTTAACCACTCGGCCTTACCGCCCTGATTGATGAACTTCTTCTCGTACATTTTCACCAGATAGGGACATTGATGACGCGCGGCAGCCTGAAAGAAAAATAAAGGTTTTTAATTTTAATAAGAGAGATTTGAACAAACATATTCAAAAGACAATTTTAAATTATTGTAAATTTAACTATTAAATCTGACATGTTTTAAGTATTAAGTGGCTAAGATTTTAAGATGTTTTTTGAACATTTTGGAACTCATAATAACTCAAATTATGTTGGGTTCGAGGACATGCGCATTTTTTGGCAACTAAAGTGCTGCTATTTTAGCAAACCGTAGAGTCCAACGTTTACGATTAACCCTTATGTGTATCATTCAAAGCGCACATTGTAGAACTAAACAGGCGTCTGCTGTGGTGTAATGGTTAGCAGTGCGCGCCACCATACCGCAGGGCCTGGGTTAAACAATTTTTTTTCTAATAGCGGTAATAGCAAAAATACAAAAAATAAAAATACAATCGCCGTTTGGAGTCCCTTTCCTTTATGTGACAACATCAAGGCACGACCCACAAATTGGAGCAGAAGCGCGGCCAAACACTAACATACTATGTGTAAGCGCCAATATATTATTATTGTTATCGGGTTGAAATGCACTGGAAAAACGCTTAAGGCAGCAGATAAACTAAATCGTTCTTTATTGGAAGAGTGTTTACATAAGTAAATTAATAGAAATTTAAACTATTTACATATCGACGACTGAGTGGAAGACCGACCTATTTCGGCAGAATTCGGTTAAAAAAGCCCTATTTCAGCTGCCAATTTAAAACCGTCCTATCTCAGCATATTTTCAATATATTTTTAGTTGAGATAAGCCGTTTTTTAATCAAATTCTTAAGTAGAGCATTCTTGGAGCGTTTTTGCACCGGCTGCCGAGATAGGTCGATCTTCCACCTATCCGTCGATATGTAGTATTTAGATGTAAGGTTGTATTCTTCTTCTTAAACGGCACTGTAACCGCCCAAGTACCTAACTTTGGCCGTGTTCAAAAAGGCACGCTAGTCGTGGTTTCTTTGGCGGGCAGACAAACGCCAGTTATAAATTCCAGTTAGGTGTTCCTTTACCTTTTGATATTGCCAACGGGAAGGTGGCCTTTCTCTTCACCTGCCAGCGTAAGCGAGTTTGCATTGACAACTTTTAAAAGCTGGTGTGTTTGAGTCCATTTGAATGGCGTTACTTTCCCAGCGCAGCCGTCTTCTTCTTCTTATTTGATGCTGTAACTGTCTAAGCGATATTTGCCGAGTATATTTTTCAAAAAATCTCTGAAATTTTCGTGGTAAAGTGGCTGTGCCCCTATTCTGAAGAGGTTTGACCTTATCAATTGGTTGGTTTCAACATGAGAAATCGCTCACAGGCCATATCCTATGTATGTATGTCGAAACTTGCAAATTGCCTTAGAAGAAAATATAGTCATTAATCATTTATCTTTCGCATTAAATCAACACAGCGCCCAGCCAGTACCAACAACATATATATTTATTAACATACTTACTTACGAGTATGCATTTCATATCTCAGTTATCTAACTACTAAATATGTATGTAGTAAAACATTCAACCTTTTATTGAATACATTTTCAGTAGCGGCAATTCCCGGTAAAAGAGCTTTTCAGATAATTTCTTTTCGCCTTCCTAGTAACCCAAATAGCCGTTGCATTACGTGTCGGCAATAAATTTTTCGTTGCACTTAAATTGCCAAAAAAATAAAAAAAACAACTTCATAGACATGAGTAAATTACATTTCGAGAACAACAGATGAGCTGTGCGAACATGAAAAAATCTTAAGTACTTATCACAAAAACAAAGATGAAAATCATACACATTTATGTATGTATGTACTTAAATAACCAGAAAATCAAAAAAAAAAAAACGCAGTCAAAGAAAATTATAAACTTTTACAATTACGACTGATTTATTGCATGCCGTCGATTATTTGGGTTAATTTGCTGTAAACTTGTCCCATCAGGCAAGCAACGTTCATAAAAAAAATAAAAGAAAATTTTCAAAGTGCACTTTTCAGTCAAACTGTGTGTTTATGCAGGTTTCATAGGAAAAATATTTGCAAACATGA